TGTGTGTGTGTGTGTGTGTGTGTGTGTGTGTGTGTGTGTGTGTGTGTGTGTGTGTGTGTGTGTGTGTGGAGAGATATAAAATGTAGCTAGAAATTTATCATCAGTTTTCACTGAGTCCACCAGAATACTTGCTTGAACCCCATCCCAACAGTGCGAAGTGCTGCTGATGAATCTGTAACTCTTTCCTTACAGCTCAGACTGTTAGTGAGAAGTGTGCAGTAGGTTGCCTGTGTCTGCTTAAATTATAAGACCAGGACACAGTCTGGTTTGTGCTGTCCCTCTCCTCTGAGTGTAGGATCCGCTCATCCAGCGCTCGCTCTCTGTCTGTCTGTATATACATATATTGCAATTTCCGTCGGTCTAATAAAAGGTGTCCTGTCTGGACCAAGCGTTCTAGATTTTTGCATTTATTTGTGTCTCGGACCAACACGGCTACCACCAAATATATCCCATAGAAAAGAGTTGCTTTGACTCCTGCCCTCCCTAATGTTTAGAAGCAGAGGGTGCATCTGCAGTGCTGCAGGTACCCCCTTGCTTTGTGCAAACAGGCCTCTCTTTTTGGGCAGGGAACAGACAGCAAACCTCCCTTTTTACACAGGGATTTGTGGGGTTTTATTTTTTATTTGGGCCTGCATCGGTTGATGGATATCCGTCACATCTTCCTTGTTCAGTTGGTGTTTATTACACACCCGCCAAATAAGATACTGCACCGGGTGGGATCAGGAGCAGGGCAATTCACCCTGGCTGCAAGTGTTTGAACACACACACCTCTCCGAATGCCAGGTGTTTTGTGTTTTAATCGCACCTTTGCAGGGGGGGAGGGTGAACAGGTCTGTCCAAAAGAAGCAAAAACACAACCCGATCTGGATGGAGATGGGCACTGTCTAAAAACCCAGGGTAGATAACCTGTGCTCTCTGTACCACCCACTCAGCACGCATTTGAATGGTGAGCAGCCCCTTCCCCTTTCCCAAAATAAGCCACAAAGTGTTCAGGCAGAAAGCTCCCGTTACAGCCTGTCTCCAATCAGCGCTCATTGTGCATGATGTTTTGTGGGTCCCTAAGCTTACAAGTGTGCAACATATTAAGTATCATACAAGATGGCTTGTTAGAAACACAAAAATGGCCATGGCAAATCAAACCGGAGATCCGGTCCATCTCTGATGGTGGCCAGTATCCAATCCTCAAGCTGTGCCAATCTACCAAGTGGACGCTTATCAGGTAACCTGCTTGCAGCAGAAGTTTCTTTCTAACTCCCTGAATCTTCCTCTCCTTCCCCAGCACACAAATATATTCTGGATAATCCACAACAGCATATAACATTACAGTAACAAACCTCTAAATCTACCCCAGTACAAGCAAACGGGAGTTTTACCATCAGCTTCAAAGGAAACTGGACCCAACCCCCCAAAAACCTAAATTTGCTGTGTCAGAGCAAACATAAGCCATGAATATGAATAACAGAAAAGGCCATTCCAAAGCATCTCTTTAGGGGAAAGCTTCACAGGCTTGGAAACACTTGTGGACTCCTTTTTGGTCAATAGCTTTGAAATGCTCGGTCATATGTGAAACTGGGGATGCTAAGGATCACTTAGAAAGGACTGAAACACTAACATCAGACAGAAGGCAGGTAGAAGTGCACCTTATGGACTAACTGAATCAAAGCTTTCATGAGCAAGAGCTCGCTTCATCAGATGCCCAGCTACCTTGCTGACGTCTTCGGAGCCGTTTGCAAGCAAATGCAGACTGTGAGCTTTGAAGTCCATGCCTAGCAAAGCGGCATATAATTCACTGACAACAGATACTGAGCATTACTCTTCCTGTGCTGTTATGTTCTGTTAATTCTTGAAAAATCTAGCCTTTATTAAATACAAAGAAAAGTGCTTTGTAGCTGTCATAAAACAATATTATATATTCTGCTGTCGCCGGACTTGAGTAGTTTCGCTGTACATGACTTCCTTGTTTTATTAAGCGGGGACATGAAATACGGTGTAGTACAGAAGGGGTAAAGATTGCTTGCGGTGTCACATTATGGGATGACATCCATTGCATTGTTTTAACAGCTCCAGCAACCATGTTGCTAGTACAGTAAAAATAGGGAAAATAGAACAGGGAGCCTCAAGGTCTATAAGGGTTTAGAGCTTACTTTGCTCGTTTTTGGAGGGTTTTTTTAACCAGATTTGGGATTGTGTTGCTGTTTCCTGTCAGACTGCCTGGAGAGTTACTAGCTTAAGGACTCTGCCTGCTATGTTATGGTTGACTAATACATGCTGTTTTTGTTTAGAAAAAGAGTAGGTTGCTTCATTGCATTT